ATTAGAACATAGCTAGCAGAGTCGCGCAATCAAATTCATTATACGTAAGCGTGCTCAAAATCCCGATAGTGCACGCTGATAGCGTCAGCAAATCCAACTTCGCCAGAAAACTTTTTTTCGCGCGAGCGGCCATTGTTAGCGCGGGGAAAAATAATACATTTCGCGACAATAATGGATACAAACAGAAACTCGGCCTGCTAGTCAGAAAACGAAGACAATGTTTCGACCTTTTCCCATGGGCTAGAGTTCTTAAATAAGGCAGAAAAAGAGAAAAACAAAGGAAAAAGAGACTCGGCATCAGCGCCATCACGATTCGCTTCAACTGATATTGTTGTCCTTTTTTCGCGTCGCATTTGATGCACAATTCCACCGGCTATGTTCTAAAACAACTGGTTCATGCTTTCAGCTGTGCACTATTGAGTTATGGAGCACGTGGGAAGTTTGGAGAGCACTCAAGAAGCTAGAGTTGCCCTCGGCTATCGCCTTGGGAAACTCTTACGCTTCTTTCGTGCTCTCTAAACTTCCCGCGTGCTCCATAACTCGATAGCGCACGCTAAAGCATGAACCAATTGTTAAATGTAAGGGCTGGTCGAGCCTAGCGTTCAAGGTCTTGAATTATAGGGCGAGATCACTTTCACTTTAACAACTCAGTCACCAACTCGATTGACCTCCTTTATCCACAATGATTATACGTAGATTTTGGCCCTGGTAACAAGACATTTTTAAGGGCAATGTGGAGGCAGAAGTGGTTTAGGGCGCTGGGTTTTAGCTCCATGGCTACAGTCCTGCGTTTGATAGTGTTTTGCTCTCCTGTCATGCTTCTTGGTGCGAGCTGGATAGCCTCTGATCAATTATCGAAAAAGTCCATAGGAAGCTTAAATATGAATTGATTGAAGCGGGAACTTTTCACCAAAGCAAAAATGGCAAACTTGAATGACAATAACAATATGCAATTCAGTCAACCGCTTTCTATAGGCGCAGTTTACGGAAAATTGTTGCGATATAGTAAAGAAAAGAGCGATTTCTTCCCCTGTCGAGCCTCTACCTCCGTTGTGCAGAGGCAAATATGCTATTGTTCAACCTCAAACTGTGTAATATTACGTCAAGGTATCATCATGAACATAAATACCTTCTGCCTTCCCAATAAGAATTTGCTTTACATCTCTGAAATTTCGTTTCCAAGTAGTGGGTATTGTTTGTTCTATGAACTGCAACAACAGTCTCAATGAAACCATGACTGACATTGGACACAACTATGTCACCTGTCTTTGGGATGTTATTGTTTTTCTCTATTACCAGGAAATACGAGTGGACAATGATTTTTCCAGTGTCATACGTGTGACCAAGGCACTTGTATATTTCTAGAAATAAATAAATAAATAAATATGAAACCTAACTGAATTTGCTAACGTGATTAGTCTTATACTACGAAATATGATTTTCTCTTCCAGGGCTATGTTATGTATTTGCGACGCGCGTGAACTTATCGTGTAGTCAATCATTTCCCGTTACTTGAACCTCGAGTTGGAGTGGATATCCGCTTTTCTTGCTAAGTTCAGTTGTTACTTCTATTGCGGTTTAAGGCTATTCGAGATCGTTATAGCTAGTTAAATCTATCCATTGAGCTAACCGCTTCCCAGTTAGCTCAATGGATAGAGCGCTGGACTGTTGTGCGGGAGGTCGAGGGTTCGAGCCCCGGCTGGACCAACACTCAAAGTCTTAAAATAATTGAGAAGAATATACTACCTTTCTATAACATCAAGAAATGGTTAGATATTCTAGTCTTCTCGGATACGGACGAATAAATGGAGGTCCCGTCTCCTGCAGGGTTAGGGGTAGGAGACCTTAATTTCCCACGCACGAGATTACTGTGTGATGGATGTCCTTCCCGGGGGTGGGATGGGTGGGTTTGTTGGAGCTTAAACCTCGTAGGGGACCCATGTCCTATTGTTTCTGATCCAGTACTTGGTACAAATTCTCAAATAAATAAATAAATAAATAAATGTTTGATTTAGCACATTCATTACATTTACAAAAAAAATTAATGCTTTCTTTCTGATTATCGTTGTTGAAGAATTATAGAAGTATCTCCTCTGATGTTGTATACGAGAGCAACAAATTTCTTCTCCTAAAGAGTGATTAGACATAGCTAAGTCAGAAGTTCGAAAAGTTCCTCACAGCATAAGCTTGCATGTCCTGTTTGGCCGTTTGATTGTTTTCTTAGGTAATGCAAGCGTGTTCGCTCACTTGTATCTTTTGTTTCTTTATGAACTTACGAGGAGTTATGTAAGATACTAAACCATTATATGTAATAAAATGATCACAGTTCAGCCATTTAGGAAGTGTTAAGATGTTCAAAAGTGTCTACCTACCATTTGAAAGCACAGTTACCCGACCCTCATCGAACGTAATGTTGCCTGAAATAACATCCCACAAGTCATCTTGATCAGGCTCATCCTCAAAAGTTGAGTCGTCGTCTATCTGCTCGGCAGTTACTTCGCCTCTAAAGTCCGCATATTTAATAACCTCTTCTAACCCTGCTGGGGCGCTCAACATCAATTGAAAAGGCCCTATGGAAACAATTTTAAATTCAAATTAGTGCAACTAGGTGTGTTTTGGAGATGCTTCGCCACTGATTCTGATGAATACAAATTAGATTACGGTAACATTTCCAAAAACTCACAATGGTAACCAGATGGCTTATCTTACGACTTATATTTACATACATTTTACATGGAGCATAATTATAGGAAGTCTGAGGTTCTCGACGAGTACAATTTTATGGAGAAAACGCTTCCAACACCACTTGTTAGCGAGCTAATGTCCACCATCCACAGTACTTCTACCAATTCCGTTCATGGCCTGAGAGCTATTGAAGAAGCCCTGTTTCAAACTGCAACATCGAGCAAGGACTGCGCAACGAATGTGACACAGAGTCATAGTCATTACACTCACCATCGCTGATTTCTTTCACAATCTTGTGCATGACGCCTCCTGCTTGAGGACTACACAGTATATCACCCTTTTGAACATTAAGAACTTCTGGTACAACTAGAATAAGCGACACCCTCTCTTGTTTTGGCAAAATTACTGGACATGCATAAACGAGAGTTTCGTTGGGCTCCACAATCTTCACATTCTTAACAAATTTCACGTTATATCTTCTTTGGGGATCTGAATAATCCACTTTAATTTCCCCTCCAGGACACTGAGTCTCATTCCATGTTCTACACCGGTTTTCTTCCTGTTATGAGGTTCGATAGATAATACATAAGTACAACCTTCTACCAAATTGATAAAAATGTGATCAACTGCCTTGCTATGAATGGTACTGCACAGTAGAAAAATAGTATGAGGTCATGTGAATCATGGGTTTGCTGTAAAGATTTCTAAAGAGTCATATTCTCATTACCACCTTACACGGGTCAAATATTCAGTTTTTGTACCGAGGCTCAACAGATAGAGAAAGTTGCTGCCTTATATACAAGGAGAACTGAAGAGAAACAAATCAAGTGAGCAACAATGAGGAACTGAAAATCAAACTGAAATCCTACCGCGATTTTGTGACATTTTTCGAGGTCTCGACATTTTTGACAAGATTCAATAGTAGCTCTTCCATCTTTCAAGTTGCAGTGCTTATCTCGACAGTTCACCCTCTGTATGAAAAAGAAATGTGAAATCACCAGTCATTAAATGATTAACACGGACCAGTGCCAATCTTTGCATTCCTGTGTAGCGTTCGGCCAATCGTCTTTTCTAGAGGCTGCAATGCATTGGCTGCGTCTATTTTGTTCCCTTGCGCAACTATCTTTCATGGAAACTTTTTTTGTGCGTAGCAGTACAGATGGATCACGGCAAAATATTACAAAAACCAAATGCCAAGAGTTATGAGTAATAAGGAAGTATCCAGTCCGGATGAAACTACTGCTTGCTTGCTTGGTTAAGGGCCGCTAGAAGTGCGGTTAGTTATAAACTTAACCAAGTGACTAAAAGAAACTAAAAAACGATGGCATTTGCCAACAGGAATACTTTTGAGAAGATTGTTAAAAAGTTATGAAAAAAATAAGAAAACAAAACAAGAAATTGATATGAAAAAGTCAACTTACAAAGAAGGAACTAATCCCATTTCCTCCCTCCCCATACCCCTTCCTTAATTGATTACTTATGTCGGACTGAGTGCCACATGGCGTTAATGATTTCAAACCATAACCTACAACTATATCATGTGAACAACGTCCGTCTCCCACTGTATAACAATGGTAGTAGAACCATGCCGGACAGCTTATTCGTGGAGGCCCCGCAGCAAATCCTCCGAGACAGGAGCGCGAACTGTCACACCATCCACAAAATGGGTCTGTAACACAATCAGCACAACTAGCGTACTTTCCACAAAAGGAATAAGTGCAGCCACGACCCTGCAAAGGAATCCACAAGGGTGCTTCAGAGACTTTAGGGTCATTAATGGCGACTGAGAAGTTAATACTAAAGTTTTTGTGCTCCATGAGGTTGCTTCAATGCCTCGTCTTTAGGTTTAAAAGTGTAACCTCACTTCAGGAAAATTTTGTTAAAAAGTGTTAGAAACTCCACCACAGACGTTGGGTTTTAGATAATGATCATCAACCGCTGTGCAGCAGTATCTCTTTTTCCTTGGTTTTTTTTTTCTTGGCGATCTGTCTAAACAAAAAAGCACATGGAGGCTACACAAAAGGGGACTGCTAGAGCATCTGCTTCAGCGGTCTTTGAAACGCGCCTAATTATTTAACCTACGCGACCACATAGATAGTTTCTATTCAGCCGAGTCTAATTCCCGTTCTACAAAATTTGTCCCGTTAGGTACCAAAACTGCTACAAGCAATAAAGTTATGAGCTATGATGGCATTAAATAGAAAATACCCTTACTAAATATCCAGGGTAGCATTTGCAGACATTGGGACCCATGCATTCACCGTTACCAGAACAGTTATGCAAGTTATGGCAATCAAACTTGGAACAGTCTTCTCCAGTCCATCCGGGATAACAGAAACAAGTGGCACCTATACAGTCCCCATTATGGAAACAGCTGTTTGGACAGTGGATAACTGTGGGGCCAAAAATAAAAATTAGATTTACTTATTTGATACGTGATAAGTGTATGGTGAGACACATCCCTGGGACAATGTAAACGACAGCAAAATTAAAATGAAATGAAACTATTGAAATAGTGGGCCATATTGATGATAATAATACAAGCATTATTGCGCAGCGCAATTGATGTTGTTTTGTCTCAGCGTTTGAATTATTAATAAGAGTAGAGTTTAACTTTGCATCGAGCGTAGCTACCCATCGAAAACTGTACTGTTATCAGTCGTTGAGGTTGATACAGACACAGATACAGATACAGTTTATTATTATGCACTATTTACAAAATTTATAACATCAACAGTGTATAAAAAAGGAAAAAAATTTCAATCAATTAAAGAGAAAAAAAAATTACAATACGCAGCCAAGATAAAATGTGCTCGGTGACCAAAGTAGCATAAGCTATCGTGTTGGTCACTGACACGTACAAATAATTGACACGACACATCAGTCAATTACAATAGAGATCAAAGAGAAAAAAGAAAATAGAATAAAAGTTCCATAGATACACTATGTACAGATTATACAGAAGTTTGAGTGTTTAAAAGGTGTAATTCATATTGGTTGAAGAAGGAAGTATACGGCAGTCTTTTAATATTTGTTGGAATAGTTTCCCAAAGTTTAGATGAAACAAAAGCAAAAGTAGAGATCTAATTGTTATTATTTGCTTTTGGCCTATGAAAATTTAATCTAGAGGCAAATCTGGTGTTGCGGTTATGTATTTCCGAGGCTCGAGTAAGGGTTCTATGGAATATAGTTGAGATATTTGTTGAGCCGTTTAGAATTTTTTGCGTAAAAAGAGCAACCTTAAATTTGTACACATTTTCAAATGTAAGAATTCCTAGAATATTGTAATATTGTTCAGCATTATCTCTGCTATAGGCAAAGAACATGCTACGCACACATTTATATTCTGCTTAGTTAAGATTCTACATAATCTAGTCAGTATACTTGCACTACCCCAAGTTAGGGTTGCACAGGACAGGTATGGATAGATGAAAGAATAATATAACTGTTTCAATGTGTGAACATCTACAAAATATCTTAATTTATGAAAAATTACTATATTTTTTGCTAATTTATTGTTAATGTGTTGAATCTGCGGTCCCCAGTGTAAGTTTTGATCAATGTAGATACCTAAATACTTAATTTGAATTGTGTGGGCAATTTTAGGAATAGGAATATATGATCTTAATCTTGCAGATGAAATTACCATATAGGCTGTCTTAGTAAAATTTATAGATAGTTTGTTGATATTACAGTACTTGAAGACAGAAGTGAATTCCTCATTCATAGAGGACTCAAGATGGATCAGGTTCTCACTTGTAAAAAAAATATTTGTATCATCAGCAAATATACGAAAGGATAGTTTTTTTGAGCAGTTCGGTAGATCATTGATATAAAGTAAGGACCCAAAGGACCCAAAGTGATCCCTGTGGTACTTCACAATTATTACACGACTCGGGCAGTCAGAGGGCCAATAACTAAAATCAAACAATCAAAATACTCTATTGCCGGTCAATATTCTCTCAGTATTGGACCGGGCACTGTCCCGAATGGTCCCGAGTGATACCGCACTTGTGTCCCTTTGAACTTCAGTCGTATAATAAATCTCTTATTAACCAAGCTTGCTCGGGACCGTACTGGAAGAATATTGGCCCTCGGTCTTTTTTGTACGGTCCTCACTGCGCTCGGTCCGTACTGTCAAGACCTCGGGCCGATATCCTCCGAGTACGGCCGTCGCGCTTGGTTAGTACGATATATGTAATGGTTTCAGCACTAGATTGGCTGGAACCAATCTTAACAGACTGAGTGCGATTGTGAAGATAGCTAGTGAAGATATTGGATCATTGGATAATGCAATTCAAGACTTTTTATTGGCTTAGCCATTATGGCATATGAGCCAATATACCATAATCTACAAATATGGTAAGCGTACGCGTCAGCTTAAATCAAAAGGGAGCTAAAAAATCCGGTTTCTTCTTACAAAATAATAATTTCTTGGGGGCGTTTTTAATAAAACAACTATTCCACTCGCGCTTGTTGGATATGAGATGATAGATAGCCAACTCGGCGCTACGCGCCTCGTTGGCTATCTATCATCTCATATCCAACGCGCGCTCGTGGAATAATTGTTAATTATATAAATCTATATAGATAATTATTTATATATATATATTATATATATATATAAATCTTCAGTTGACCACTCCGTTCTCAATTATATATATATATATATATAGAGGGATTAAACTTGGTGTCCGTGAAACAGTGCTCGATACAAATAGTAGAGCGGGTATAATGTGTGGTAGGCAAAATCCCCTGATGAGTGGGCAACTACGAAACAGGTCTGTAG